GACCAAGTGGTCTGAAATTGCTATGGTTTGATAATTAAGCAACTTCCATTTAAATTAAACGTGTAACATAAATTTCTTACGGGAAAAACAGTCTAGTTCCCGATTACAAGACACTTGCTCTCCAACTGTAAGAATTACAAATTACAACAAAGAATCAAAAAACACTTTCAATTAGAATTCAAAAACCATACAAACACAAAAAATGTAAAACAAATGTGGCGACTAAGCCGATGAACCATAAGCAGACAACCCATGCGACGATCATTTCTAGGTTTATAAAAAAACAGGGGATTCGAGCGTAGTCCCTTAGCGGTCTAGTAGTTTTTGTACCCAGTAAAAATGCAAAAATGATTCAGTCTTTTGCTAAGCTAGCTGTTAGCCCAAAAAAGTCTCAATTCCAATTTGATAACATCCAATATAACATCCAAATTAATAATAACATCCGAGCAGCAATGAAATAGATACTGCCCAACAGATACTGCAACCGTACAGTACATAAAAATTCAAAACGTAGATTTAAAACAGAAATTGGCACCGATCATACCGATCAAATTGGCACCCATCATAAACTACACAACAAAAACAAGGATAGCCAATAACTGTGCAAGTAGCACAGAATGTTCCGACTACAGTCTTAAAAAACACAACAAAAAGTTTTTTTTTTTCAAATTAGTTTAGTTGTTTCGACGAGGTGAGATAAAAAGAATTGAACCAAAAATAGAGATTAGGCATATTCGACAGATAAAATAAGAAAAATGAAAAAAAAACTTACAAAAACGAAAAAAACTCATTTAATTTTTGCAGTTGAATTTTGATTCAAATTACTCAAAAAACTAACCAAGCTCGAGTAAAATAAAGTTTTTACGCTTTAAATTTAGCTAATGTACGTCTTTAAGCCATTAAAATGAGCTATTATAAGCCTGCTGGCTCGCTTTATTCGCACAAATTAAGACGAAAAACCGAAAACTCCAAACCGTTTCTTCTCGAAAAAAAATATGTTTGATATTTCCAATGCCACTCATATCGCGACTGTAAGGGCTTTAATATGATATACCAGTTAACTCTCTCTGATGATTGTGATAGCTGATTTTGCGTGAAAGACAAAATGAAAAAAAACACCCGAATATAAAATTCCTCCCCATTTGTCGGACCAATCGCTTCATTGAGGTAAAATGAAAACTTCTAGCTGTTCTCTTTTCATATCTGCTTTAAAGCCATTAGGTTAGACTTGAAAATATAATCAGTTATCAGTTCCAGTTTCTGAACTCACCAGAAAGTATCTCAGTCCAGTTTATCACTCATTACCAGGGTTGCATAAAAAACTGATGTAATTCTCGATTGCTTTAAATACATTTTTTATTATTTTACTTGGATTTTTTTATTTCTGTTGAAACTATTTTGTTTCAAAATCAATTAATTCACGTGAAATTACTGAGTCAGCACCCGAAAGCAGAACACAAATTTTCCGCATTTTTCTATTCCCAATCGGTTTCTGAGACTGAAGTGGACAAATCCGAAAGTGCTGGGCTGTGTTTACCTCGGCACTCGGCAGGATGACGCAATAAACAGCGCAGTTAATTTTTATTCTTCGATTAACATCGGACTTAAATCAACGATTTAAATCAGGTTGACTTTAATCATGCAACCCTGATCATTACAAATGCTATTTAAGTTTAAAAAAAATCTGATAAGCCTGTAATAAATTCAATTAAAAATTATTCGTATCTATTTAGCCACTTTTTTCGACCCAAAAATTGCATTTCTAATCATGATAGAAAGGGCTGTATTGAGAGATCATATGCGATTCCATCAAAAATTCCGCTATTTATTTGCGCGAAGAAAAATCATACACTTTGTACTTAATCATTGGTTTGAAAAAAATTGAAGTTAAAGAGATTATTGATTTTACAAACCGAATGATAGAGAATAGTCATAGCTAAACAGCAGTACACTTTGACACATATTAGACCTGCCCCAGGAAATATACCCAACAGACAAGTAAGTTTTTGGTTTGCGCCAACTACCGCGCCAACCCCACCATATCAATCGATTTAGGTTGATGAATAATCTGTTTCGGCTATTGTTTTTGGGCATGTTTTTTTTGTAGAATTGTTCGCAGTTTCCTTTTGAAATTCGAGAGCTTCGATAAAAGTTTTCGACTACTGCAAAAAAATGCATTTTTGCGCTGCAAATGAATTTTTGCTGGAGCGATAAAAAGGTCGCTTTGTGTTCCGTTAAAAGGTTTCGATTAAAAAATTCTTTCAGCGTTAGTATGCATTGGTTCCCCAGACTCCTTTCGAAAAATTGAATTGGTCGGCCAAAATGGTTGCTGTAACATCAGTATCCTTAAGTCGTATTAAATATGAATAATACGTTCTCCTTTTCTTCTCTCTTTTAACAGTAACTGTGATCAAAAATAGGGCATAAGTTTAGCATTTTTGCATGCGATAGTCGCATTTTTCAAGCTGGAATATGAATTGTTCTGAAGTATCAGACTTATGCAAGCCAATTTAATTTGATGCTTAGATTTAGGTAGTTTCAGCAGAGAATCAAGAAAAGTATAACATAAAGTTTCAGTATCCTCTTAAGATATTATCACTATGTATGGAGTATTCGCAGAACAATGATGAAACATACAACAAAACAAAATTCAGTATAGTTCGGAAACAAACGATTTGAATGATTTTTAATGAACAAAACTGAGTATACAAGTGCCTAACTTTTGAAATTAATTACATTATGTATATTTAACGCAGAGCGGCGAAGCAGCGCTTCGCAAACACAAGCGAGGAAAATGCGAAAAGGAGCGCTAAGCAGGCAAAATAAAGTGAAATAAGGAATAGATTAAAATTACACATTAAAAAAACAATGAGTATAAAAGCATCAGATTCTCACATCTGCTCCGTGAACGCTTGCCGTTTTACTAACACTGGTCGCCAATAAAGCAGCAACAGTTTATCAAATTGCCAATGTTATGTGGCAAAAATTCGACCAAAAAAACATAACTACTTCAATGTTCCGAATTTGAATATCCGATCTGTTAATTAGGCCTCTCACGCCCTCGCATTTGTGCCACTTTCGCTTGGAAGTAGGCCAGTGGCTATCTACCTGTTCTAATATTTTTATCATATATTGTACTGATACGGAAATGCGTATTGTTCAAAATTTCAAAAAAAGGACTTTACGCTGAATCCTAGTGTTTCTCTGCTTAAGTAGTCCATTAACCGCCTCTTTTAAGGAGAAAACTACTATTTGCTGCTCTTTAAATTGAAATCTTCCTGACAGATTCGGATCGGTTGTTTTCGGAAAAAGTGAAAAAGATTTTTAAAAAATGAGCAAAATCGAAAACTCGACTTTTCCTAAATCCATAATTTTTTCTCTACTAATGCGTAGGAATAGCCTCTGCTTTTCACGCCTTGATTTTTGAACCCTTAATATCAGATTTAGCTACAAGTTTTCGTGAATGGCGACGAAAATTCTAAGAAAACGGTAAACTTTTAAATAAAGAATTTTTACGCAGTCCATATCATCTTTACTACAAAGATACAGGGTAAAACAGACTACGCAGGGCATTATTTTTTCAAATTGCAGGGCATAGCCGCTTCCGCGGGTAAAATTAGCATAATTTATTTCTTTAGTTAAACCCTTAACCTCCTATTTGACAGGGTAGTTTTTGCGAAAAATCAAAAAGTTTTTTTTAAATTAACCACAATGTTAAAAATTAACCGAAATGACTTGCTTGGCGCCATAACTTTTTTAAACCAAATTTTGGGATGAACCGTTTGAGAAAGGGTGATCCCCATAATTTTTTCTTTTGAATTAAACCTTCCTCTCAGATTTGTTAATAAAATAATAGGGAGCAACTAGTTAGGGAAGCATTATTACAGGGAAACGACGAACAAAAATGCTATTTCTGTACTTTTTCGCCATAATTTCTATTCCTCTTTTTAGTAAGTAGCGATTGAGCTAGGTCAAGAGCTGCGAAAATAAGAACAAATATTAGTTGCATTATTATACACAGGCGAGGCGGAGCTCCGCATCACCTGCGATACAACAAAAATAACTATGATTACCAGCAAATGAAAAGATAAATCAAAAATTGAAAAAAAGACCTTCAAAAAGTTCAAACAATTGCAAGGTGCACAAAAAAGTCCTGGAACAAAATTACCTGCATCATTAGAAACTTTACAAACTTGAATTTACAAAGCAAACAATTTTCAAAACTTTTTAATGATCAGCACAAAAAAAATCAAAAAATAGCAAAAAAAAAAATTGGAGCTCAATTACTTGCCCATAGCCGGAATACACTGAAACAATTTTTAAATTGAGTAATAAAACCCAAATTTTAGGCTCCTATGAAACAAACATTGATAGTCTTTATGAAAGGTAAATGGCCTTTTTTTATTCAAAAGAACAGATAGCCAACAAGTAGTTGGACAAATGTAACTAAAAATGGAAACTGAAAAAACTAACTTTAGAATTTCTAAGAGAATCTCTTCATCACATTAAAGCTCTTTGAAGTTCAGGAATTGTGTATGATAGACAATTTTTGTTAAAATAATCCTATTTAAAGAAAACTGGATTCAATGTCTACTTTTTTTATTCCGCTGAGAGTTGGCAACATTTAAGTCCTTTTTGAAACTAGAAGCCATTGAAATTTTTGTAACCATTACACTTCCGCTTTTCGACAATTGAACTTGCTTTTCTTTCGATAAAAGAAATCAATTGAATTACAACAAGAAGACAAACGTCAAACAACATTATAGCTTACAATCACTTCAAAACTGAAAAAAGAATTCAAACAAATTTGAGACTAAATTGAAGACATCAAGACCTCCAGAGACTAAAAACTTCCTGTATTTAAAGAACACTTTATAGAAAACTTGTAGGAAAAATTGCTTGATAGTAAAAGTCTAGTTGCCGATTTCACAAACGCATTGAAAAACTGCTTACTCCGCAATAATTTCCTATCCTTGAGAAGTGACTTGATTGCAAAAAAATTTGATTGATTAACTTTTATTTAACTAATTAACAAAAGGAACAGACGTTGGACAACAAGCCAGGTAACGCGTATATCCATAAATGAATTACTTTGAAACTACCACATCATTTAGGTCGATTGAAATTAATCGGGTGCTCCTAAAAAAATTCCCTATATTGAAAAAAATGAAGTACTGGTTTATTTGTTTGGTTACGCAAAAATGCCGTGGTCCCTAATAGCAACAGAGGTACAGTATTTGGATTAAATCTCCCACTGAGCATTTTAATTCTCTATGTTGTCAACAGAGCTGGAATATTCAGTTTAGTCGGTACGAATTCGGTTACCAACCCCAAGGCGTAGGTTCGAATCTCTCGCTTTATTTTGTTTTTAAGAATCGGCTGGACCAATCATCTAAACTAGTTTTCTCACGGGACCAAACAAGTAAAATAGTACCAAAAAGGAAACCGAACACTCCAAAAAAAACTCAGACGATGCATTAGAATTAAATACTCTTACTCGTTCTAATTCTGCTTTGATTTTCTTGTCGGAAATGTTTCCATTAGGCAATTTTCCTCAAAAACACCCATAAGTCCAAGACAAACTGCCGTAATTTGAAGTTAAATCAACAGAATCACATTTTCGATATAGGATAATATCTTACAAAAGTTTTTTTTTTGGTGAAATGATTCAAATTTATCAAAAATAATTTTACATAAATAACACCTTTCCAGAACAAGTTTGATGGCTAGCATATTGATTCGTCTTCATAGGAAGCATTTATGGAGCCTTGTTTGGGCAAATGGGGTGCGCCTTTTTCTATAGAGGCAACACTAGTTTTGCTACCGGAAGCGCTTCCTATAACATTTCCCACTTTGTACCCTACTACTCCCGACCCTGAATCAGCTTTTTCCAAATTTCCATTCACACTCGACGAAGAGGGAGTATTTAGCTGGCGGTTTTGGTCAGTCACGCTTTTAGACCTTGGACGTATTGCAGAATTTGTCAAACTGGGATTATTTTCGGTCAGGTCTTGATCTGAGAAACGCTGATGTTTGGATGCTGATTGAAACATCGGCGGGTTCAGCTCAGATGGACTGCGAACAGTTAAAGCATTCGTGGAAGATGAAACATTGCTTACATTTAAGGTTCCTTCAGCCGATTGCCCATTTTGTCTATCAGAATTGAAATCTGATGCTGATTTTCGGTCTTTCGTAAATAAGAAAGGGTTGACTGTGATATTTTTGCTATTACCATCGCTTCCAGGGGTCAAAATCATCGGACTCTGGTCATCAAGAAGACCTATCATATCACTATCTTTGCGATTGCGTCCCAATGCAGGCTGATCGGCCGAGACATGACGCTGTCTCACAGATGTATCAATGGCCAAACGAGGCGCTGATTTTCGCTCATCGTTCGCTAAATTTCGTTTGGACAAGCTTTCGTCTTTGTGAGTACTAGCACCGCCAGATATTTCATCTAGAATACTATTTGTGCTGCTTCCTGTCAACAAGTTTCCACCACTTCCGTTGCTGGAGTTCCTCAGGAGCCGGGATCCCGGATGTTGCGGAGGCGGCTGGATAGCAGGCAAAGCTCCACCAACCGTTCCGGGTGCTATCGTTGGACCAAATTGACCCATAGTTCTACTCTGCTCCGCAGACCGATGACGTACCCTCAGCGCTGGTTTCAACTCTTTCGAAGAGTGCCCCGGTGACTTAGAACTACTGGGCTGATTCTGGTGGGTGGCAAGTGTGTTTTTCATCATAGAACCTCCCGCAGAACTAGAAAGATTTGGTAATCCTGCTCCTTGCACCCTACGTGCAGTTCTAGGGTCCATATCGGATGCATGCCTTAATTTGGGCCCCGAATAAGGCGGATTGGGATGAGCCTAAAACGGCATCAAGATCTATTACTCAAGATTTTCGATTTGATTAAGCAACGATTGGAAAATGTTGATGCCACTTTTTATTGATAATAGGTCATACTCGCCCTGCCCATTCTAGAACTAATTTCATGAAAGCGTTTCTCACCTGGAACTTGACTTTCTTTCCGCTCAGGTTTCTTCCTCTGGCTGGTAATATCTGGCACGTCGAGTCCTGTTGATGCAGTTGATTGTTCATATCAGATATACTTGCGAACTGGGATCCCCCCGCACTGTGTGGTCCACTCAGCCCCCCACCACCCATCTTTAGACTGAGGAAGCTGGAGGCGGCTGACACTGGTCTACTGGTATAAGCAGGCGCCATTTCGCCAGCTGAGTTAACTACAAACAAACCAAATCAACGTTTTAGTAGTAAAATAAGAACAAAAGTTAAGTTGAAACAGAAAGCTGGAAAAGTAACAGAAAGTTGCAAAGTGAAAACGAAATCAAGGGTACCGGAAAAACGGATTGAATATTTTTGAATATTGTTCAATTTAAAAAATACATCATGTAAAAGTTCTTTATATTTCAAGAATAATTTCTGCTTGAAACTTTTCTGCTAATTTAGATTGAGATATCAGATCAACAGGTGAAATTGTCATTCCTCTGTGAAATTTAGAAATTCAAATCCACCTTCGAATCTAGAAGTCAGTCACGTTTTTTTTTCCGCGCCATTTTCAGTTTCGTAATTCGAAAGCGTTATTTTGCTTTCAGTTGGCAAATGAAATTGAATTGAACTTAGAAACAAATCAAAAGTCGAACCGCGAAAAATCGAATTTGGCGTGAAAAACATTTAAAAGTTATACCTGAAAAATTTCCACCTCTATAAGTGTCTTCACTACTTTCATCAACACTTAATAACTTGTTTCATTTACAAAGTTTATGAAACCGTACTTGAGTTAGTTGAGTTTATCCTCTGTTGTGCACGTCTGTAAAACTCATCATACATGGGTGGGGGCTCCCCTGTAACATTATTCGTTGACGAAGCTTGACTGGGAGGACTGGAATAGTCGGTTGGGGGGTACCCGTGCGACCCTCCGCCAACTATCGACGCCCCCGTTGAGGCTGTTCGTCTCAAGTTGTCGCTGTAATTAGTCACGAACTGCATAGACACTGAATCGGACGTCGAGTTTTCGTCGCAAATCGAGTAAGCCGAGTATGCTGTCTCTATGGGTTCGTGGTCTATTTCTTGGTTCTGAAAACTCTGGCGATTGCGCCAGTACTCGAACACGTTTCTAGCTGGATTCATGCTGGCTGATTCGCCTTCAGTGTTGATGTTGACAAGGTAAACTACGAGGATTAAAAAGAGAAGTAGCACCAATAGGGCCCCGCCTATTACCACCCAAATTGTCGACTTGGACAGCACTGAAGATTGAGACTCTAAAACAAACTTTCTTTTTAGAAAAAACATAATTGAACAACATTAGAGAACAAAAGACATCAAGGTAACTTGGTTCAATTAAGGTCTCAAAAATACTGAATATATTTAAAATCATGACTCTCTGAAAGTAAACAAATGTCGGAACTATTTCCAGATGAAATCACGTCCGATGATAAGAAGGCATTTTAACAAGTGTAGACTATTCCTGTGAAATTAGAACAGAGGGTTTCAGCCACAGTAATTTATAAAAAAGGAAAGATAGCCAAAAGACGGTTGGAAAAGAGTCATGAACGCAAGGAAACAAACAAACACTGACTTGTTTTTTTTGAAAAAACTTCCAAATTTTGAATTTCTATGAAAAAAACTGATTCACTTAAAGTTCTTTCATTTTCAAGAATTTATTATTGACATTTTTTGATAAAACTTACCCATTTTGAAAAAACTGGATCAATAGGCAAAATTTTTGTTCCGCTGGGAAATCTTAAAATTAAATCCAGTTGCGAAACTAGAAGTCGTTCACGTTTTTCCGGGCCATTTCTAATTCGAAGAAAGCAATACACCTAAATCTTAGCAATATACCTGAATCTTAGAAGTGAATATAAAATGAATGCAACTCTGTATGAAGTTACTAGAGCATTTTCAGACTTTTTCATGGAAAAAAGCACAAGAAATCACCAAGCCCATGTAAGAGTATTCACTACGTTCATCAGGAGCGGATTTAAGGGGGCGGGGGTTTGGACGCCGTCCTCCCCGCCCCTCAGAGATTCGACACCCTGCCGACCCAAAGGGTCCCACCTTCGTACTAATTTGAGATATCCATTTTTGCCAGACGGACCCAAAAACTTACAAAAGGAGCATTCGGCGCCTATATTTAATAATTTTGAAGCACGTGCCGAAAAATGGCGATTTTTTGGTTAAAACTTTCCAACATTTTTCCCCAATTTTGACTCGTTATTTTTCTGCATGTATTAGAAGAGAGATGAACAAAAAACAAGCATGAAAAAATGAAACATAGGCAATATTGACTTTCGAATTCCCAGGAAAAACTATATGGCCTTAAAGCTCTTTGAATTTCAAGAAAAAGTTTTGATTGACTTTTTTGATAAAATTAAACAAACTTAAGACAACTGCAGCAATGAGTAATTTTTTCATTACGCTGAGAATTCTGAAAACTAAAAACCTTCATCTAAAATAGAAGTCGATCTCGTTTTTTAGACATTTACACTTTTCTGCTCTTCGATAGTGAATTTTGCTTTCCTTTTAATAAAGGAAATGATGTGCTGAAATCAAAAGTCGAAGCGAAAAAATCAAAATTGAGCGTGAACAAATATTTAGGTTTTTCCTGAAAAGAAAATAAATACAAAATCACCAAGATCTATATAAGAGAATTCACTAAGTTCATGACTCCTAATCATTGCTTCAGTTGACTACACCTGAAAAAATTTCAAATTGAATTTTGAGTTACTTCTTGATTTTTTGAAACTTTCGTATATACAAACAAACATTTCTCTATTTGAGCTACAAAAGAGCTAAATGAACTTAAAAAACTTGTCAAAGATAAAAGTTCACTTAAAAATTGGGTTACAAATTAAAACTAATCAACCCGTTTTTCTCAACAATGAGAAGATTGTTTTGATAATTTATTTTAAATTGGTCGAATCACGGTTGAAAAGGCTTTATTACGATGTTTCATTCGACCCGATATGACGTTAATTTAAAGTACCGAAAAAAATTTGTGGTAATTTGTGGTACCAAAAAAAAAGCATCCGAACACAAAAATCCTACCCACTTTCATTAATCGGAACAAAAACCTCGAACAGATCAGCCATATTTCTTAGCCGGCAGCTTTAGCTTAGTCTTCATTTTTCTCTTCGTTTATATCATACAAATCGATGAATAATTAATGTTTGTTTTCATACCTCTAGGAGGAATATAGGGGACCGGTTGTGGTTTTATGTCCGCGTCTCCTGGTATGTACAACAAACACTTCTCCTCTCTGTCAGCGGCTAAGCAGTCCTGTTCCGAAGTGCAGACAGTTCTGTGGGGATCCTGCACATTGTCTTTTGAGCACTCGAACATGAGGCAAAAAGTGCCGTTGAAGTGGAATCTCTTCTCTCCGTCCAGAAAGGGAGTGGCCTCAGCTGTTTCAACTTCGGGAGGCACATCGCATTGGAACTCAGCTAACCCTGTTGCAAATTAAGCTTAATTTAAAATATACGAAACGTAAAACCAGTACTCCTTACTTGGGCATCAAATCATTCTAACATCGTTTTTGGGCGCCCTTCCCCTCAAGATTAACTTTTGGCGCCTATAACTATTTTGGTACAATTTGATACTGTCACTCATTATGGCTCTCGTAAAATATGATTAAAAAAGGGCGTCTTCATGGGATAATGAGGGTTTTGTACTCCTGATATGCGGGCGCGGATGGGGTTTTTGGATGCGGGGGACCCTTTTGATTTATGTATATCGAGGGAACCCTTTAGAAACAAACTGTGACAGAGGGGTCACACTAATTCTAAGCAAACACAGCAATTAAGAAAATTGAGAGAATCCTTTCGGTTGTTTTCAGGATATTTCTCAAACGTGATTAACCTGCCCCATTAGCGCTAAATTATTCGATTCTTTAATTGACATCACCGAAGCAATAAATTGATAAACTTTATTAAGAACAGAGACGTAGATAATTTTTAGTTCGTTTAGGAAGCCCCTCTATCGCACTTGCACCAATTTTTTTAAGTTAACCAGCCAGAGGCCTAACCCGAAGATCGATTATTTAAGGTTAACTAAATTACTAAAGGTTAATTTTCTATTCGTGAATATGTAATTCATTACGAGGCAAAACTGTGCACAAATTTGTGTCTGTATGTTCCTGGATTCCAGAGACAAGTCTTTAAACATGTTAAATTTTGTCTGAACTATCAAAGAAAATGAAAGAACAAAAGAAGAATAAAAGGAGCGTCCTTGTTGCGGAATCCAACATTTCCAAAAAAGCACAGTTTGGCCTCGCTATGTTTTAAACTTTAACTTACACCTCATACAGACAGTGTAACGTGCCGTTTTCTCCTCATCCACCGCCTTCATAATCGCCCTATTGACCTTTTGGCCCGTCACTGCACTGTCTGCGTGCATCAGAATGTGGTCCCTCGTCTTCTCGTTGAAGACTTCGAACATCCTGTCCACTTCACTCTTGCCATCGTCACCCTCCAGCTCCTCGCACAAATTCTGCCCACTTGGATTTTTTTCTGAAGTCATACATAAACAAGGATAACCGGTTGCTGTGCAACTAACACAGAATGTACCGACCACATTATAAAGAGCTACAAAAAAATCTTTTAATTCAATTTAGTGTCGTTTTCTGTACGTGATGTAATGAGAGAATTATAAAAACGCGTATAAATTTAGTCAAATAGGAAAAATTGACAACATTTTTCTGCAAAAATGAATAACAAACAAAAAAAAACGAAAAATCTTCAAAAAAGTATAAAATTTTTTGCAATCTATTTTATTTTTAAGAAAAGTTTCATTGTCAAGGAAGCGCTAAATACAGTTTCCTCGAATTGGTTTCGTTTGGAAAAATCATGTTTTCTAAGCCTGAATGACCAACGTTACTCGATATAACGAACGCTACTCGGCCGCTAAAGTCGCTCGAAATTGGACAAAACCTCAAAATATTCAAATCGGTTTTTCTGGAAACTGGGAAACATTTTGAAAGTCTTTTGATGTAGTTTGAATCAGTACTGAAAAATCTTTGATGAGCATATCACTCGACTCAACCCGATGATTATTTCTGTGACCTGATTTTGAGTTGAAAACCAAAAAAAAACTAAAAACAGACCCGAATACAGAGTTCCTCCCAATTTTTAATGATCTAACAAGATTAAAACGCATCAAAATATTCGTATGAAAAAGTAATCAAACTTAAAATAATTTAATGGGTCTTCTTTTTGATTATCAGTAAAGAACGTGTTCTTCCTGACAAATGGTTAAACTTATAACACTGCACTACCAAAGCTCGCTTGCGTAAATAGGTTAAAAAACAATGCTACGCTTTAGAATATCATCATTAAAATGTTATTTAAAAAAAACATAGCTAACAGAAAGCTGGAAAAATTTCATTGAAATGGGAAAAAAGAGATTTTTGAAAAATTTCAACAACAAAAATTCTGTTATCTGGGAGCAAATTATTCAAGATAATAAAATTGGCTCATTTGGTTAATATTAGTAACTTGATTTTCTTTATCTAAAAGAATTTTGTTGAGGTTTACAAGAGAAAGGAAGAAAACTACTGGTACCAACTGACTATGATAACCAGCTCAAAATTGCGTGTACATTCTGCGCATCTAGAAACCCAGAGAATGCACAGAGAATGTACGCGGAGATTGTCTTGAATAGTGAAAGCGCAAATGAGGCACTTATGTTGTTGTTGTTAGCCGCCAGGGGGCGCTTTCGGCATGATCAAACCGAGTCCTAGAAATTATCCGACTTCGTCGACCGAAGCCACAGGTCAGAATAGTAGTGTTCATGGAATATTTTTTAAAAGATTTCATTCTCAAAAGTTTTCCAGTCTGATTTTCTAAAATTTATAGAAGTTTTATGAGGCGCGAAACAGATATCCTCAGCAATGGGAAGATTCATTAAAACTGGTAGGTGGTCTGAGCCCAAAGTAAAAATTGTTTGCAAGCAAGATTAAGTAAAACTGAGGATGATGCGAGTGATATGTCAATTGATGATGCTGATGAACTTCTATCATATGGTAGTCAATTTTGGTGGTTGTCATTTAGTGGAGTAAATGTGGATTGAATAATTTCGGCGCCTAGATTAGCCCGCGTCTGTCTTCTGGTATAATGGAGTTTCGAAGAGGGGGAATGAGAGAGATATTTTCTTGACCTTGGGTAAGGACAGCTACTATGGGAAAGGATATGAAAGTTCGTGAAACGGAGATTCTGATTATTGGCCTTTCCAATCACGATTTGCGCCCACAGAGTTCCGTCTTCACTGTTTCACGTTCATCGTATAGAGGAGAATGGTGAATTTCAAAAAGAAGACCACCTCCCTCTGGCGGTCGGTGTTTTCTAAGTAATGTATAGTTAGCCCCTAACGAGGGAGTGCGGTTTTTCCAATTTAATTCCGTTTCCTGAGAAAAACGCGATAAGTATGTGGTACTCGCACATTAAGGCTGCTATTTTACGTACTTTCGCAGAGATGCCATTACAGTTGAAGTGCAGAATACTCAGGGACTTAGTTGACAGTGAGTGTGGATTGGCTTGGTTAATACGTGGGGGTTGTCACAGATAGTTGAACTGTAAAAGTGTCAGTGTTTGAATCAAGGGAGCGTTAGTTGCTTGGGTTAGTGCAGTCGAGGAATGTACAGAAGTCGGTCGTGAAATTAGTTGCATAATTTGTTACTGGGAGGATCAAGATGTAATTTGCTGTGCAGGTGGGACAGTAAGAGTTTCTGTGATGATGCTTCAGCATGATTGGACCACTGCATTCCAAAGGAATCCATCCACAAATGTGGCACCACACGCTTGCTTGGGAACGTATGATTTTGTGATTAAACGGTGAGCAGGTATGAGGTCCGGGGTTGGGATTTATGCCAGTGCGAAGGAGAAGTATTAGGATAAAAAGAGGGATAAATACGGCCGGCTTAGGAAGCTCCGTAACCAAAAACCCAGTCCGAGCAGTGCCATTTGCGGCTGTTTGTACATCCGTCGGGTCCACCAATGGAAAGGGGCACTTCTGGACCTTTAAAGGAAGCACTGGCAGCACTCACGAGCAAAACCGAGAAAAGGAAACGACTCGCTGATAAAAAGAAACAAAACATGGTCAAGGAACTAAACTATGGACGCCACAACCAACCAAAAACTACTTAATGGAACTAGATTTTTTTATATTACGGAAACTATCTACAAGGCTATTCAAACCAAACAAATAGACAAGTTCATGGCGATAGTAGATACGACTGGAATATCTGCGGAAGCAAAAACATGAGATCGCCGAAACAAGAGCAGAGCAGGCCGTCCATTTTAATTGCAGGAATTTGAGCTGCAAACTTGACGAATGGGATTCTGCATATTTAGCTTCTATTTTTTATTAGATCACTTTCCAAAAAAATTGCAAATACTGGTCATTTCTTACAATACTCAGTTAACTAATTTGATCACCCTAAGCTATCAAGAAGAGCAATTTTACACAATACAACAAAATTTGAAAACATTGAAAAATTATTAGGACCAATGTGCTTGCTTATAATCTAAATTAGTCACGTTTAAGTGTTGAGCAGTAAGGACAGTTGCGTTAACTCAAGCATTATCAAGTTCCGAAAACTGACCACTTGTTAAACTTTTAACGTCCAAAACTCTAAGAAAAGGTAGCACGTTGAATATCGTTTTAGCTTTGAGCTCAAGGCGCCCATACCTTCAAAACATAGCCAACTAACAGTTGAAAAAGAGTAATGAGCGTAATGAAACCAAAAAAAAAACAGACTTGTTTGTTCAAAAAGCATCAACTTTTGAATTTCGAAAAAAAATAGATGGACTTAAAGCTCTGTGGATTTGTATAACAATTTATGCTCGACAGTTTTTTTTGCTAAAATTAACCCAATTTGAGAACACTGGATCAAGAGGTAAAACTTTTATTTCGCTGGGAAATCTGATAATTAATTTCTATTTTCAAAATTAGAAGTCGATCACGTTTTTCGTGATATCTTTACAATTTTGCTATTCGATAGTGGAGATAGCCTTCCTTTAAATGGAAATAGACTGAACTTAAAAAAATCACAAGTCGAACCGCGAAAAATCAAAATTGAGCGTGAACAAATTTTAAGACTTTTTCCTAGAAAAAAAAAATCAGCAAAACCTATATAAGAGTACTCACTGCATTCATTACTCTTAAACATCATAAAAAAGTGCCTCAGAAACTATTAATTCAAAGATTTGTGCAAGAACTACGGATTAAAATGAATATACAACTTTGAATGAAAAAAGTTGACTGACAGAATAAAACTACGCGCGCTACCTCGGCTGCCAAAACAAAAAAATTCTCACTACTCAAGTGGCATTTGAAATAGCTGAAAACCAGAAAAAATTCCAATGCAAACTTTTTATTTTATTTTAGCAAATGAAATTGAATTGAACTTGAGAAATCAAAAGTCAAGCCACAAAAAAAAACATAGTCGAACTTGAACCACTTTTAAGACTTTTTCCTCAAAATTTTTTACAAAAACACGGCCTGAAAAAGATTTTCTTTAAGTTCATTAGATCGGCGCCTGGATATTTAACAAAAACAATAATAACTCACCTTCTGAGTTTTCATAGTACTCGATGTAGTGCTTCTTGTCGCTAGCCTTATTCACTGTGGATGTTGGCCTCAAGCAGCGAAACTCCACGTCAAAGTCATTTCTCCGCGTGGCTGACACAGCCTGATAACAGAAAATATCAATTTTTGTTTTACATTTAAGGGACAAAATTTTAGGGGTCAATGATTGATTTCTGACACATATCAGCTCAGCAAAAGGTCATATTGGTTCTTGTAAGAAACACGATTTCTTCACAAAATCATCTTTTTCCATCAATTTTTTCATACAATTACAGACTAACAAGAAATCCGGCGAAATAAAGTTTGACATGATGCTAATTGCATGAACTGAGCATTTTTTTTAGATTTTATTTTGTTGAACTATTGCAACCTTGGTTAAAAAACAACGCATATCTCTTATTCAAATTCTGCAACTCATGGGTTCTGATTTGTTTCCCTTTACAGAAACTTCTTCTGGTTTGTTTCGCTCAAACTTTATTCCTTGTTTCTTCCAAAGTTTTATATTTGGATACGTTTCTTCCAAAGTTTGATTTTTGGATAAGTTGATTAGCAAAAGCATTTCTAATTAGTGAATTTAAAAACCTCGAGGGGGTGTCTCACCTGATAGTCGACGAAAAACCCGTTGGAGTCCCCAATCTGTATTTGAGAGACAAACTGAGTCGTGAACTTATTCGCATCTTGTTGGTTCACAAACACTGGCAGGTTATCATCATGACCGCCCGTGCATTTCAACCGAGCTTCGTCCAAGTACACAGATCTGTTATTCAAGATTACAGTCACGCATAAACGTTGTCCATCGATATTTTCAAACAGAGTTTCGTCGTCGAAGCATCCCGCTCCTGGCAAAAACATTTGATAACTCTTTCATATTTCTTTTTTCCGTACAACCCCTTCCCCCATAGCTGTTTTACATGTTATTATGGCTATACGCGCGATGTTTCGATGAAAAGCATGAAGAACAAATCTGTTCACAGTGGCTAGTTTTTTAACCATATCAATATTCATTGCATATTCAGTGGGGCAGATCTAGGATTTTCTCCGAGAGGGCGGGGGGGGGGGGGGGGCATTTTAGGTCGACCAAAATAATTTTTCGAGCTCTCCCAAAGCACTAAGACGCAGGCAAAATTTACAAAATTTTCAGGGTCGGTCACCAAAAATGGATACGGTCACCAAAAGTTTTCTTGGATGGAGTTTAAAAAAAGAAAGCTTACCAGCCGATTGGTTCCCGGAAACTTCGGATGAAACTGTCAGAAGCAATTCAGTCGCGAAGATGATGATGATGATATTCACTGAAAGAGAAAAGTTCCGAATATTTATTAAACATATGTGGTTTTTAATTTTCACTTAATATGGAAACTAGCCATGGTAAAAAAATTTAGGAAAATATTTTTTTTGACAAAGATAAGAAATTTTAACGTTTGATATCTTTTTTCATAATAATATAGATAATTTTCTCCATAGAGTTCGTTGGAACTAGAACAAACTAATCCAAGCAAAACCTTAAATCCAAAAAATCTGAATCATGAAATGTTCGGAAGGACCAATTTGAGAACTAAAACGTTGTCTGTCAACAACGCTAATGCAAAAAACATTTAACGAATGAATATGAATGGATGTTATAAATTACGAATTAAAACTATATTTACATTTCGCAATCACAAGCTAGAAATGGGCAAAAATCAACTCCAAAAGGGGCACAAAAAAAACAAAAAGTATAAATAAATTAAATTCTGCAATGCCCCCGAATCCGCGACCTCGAAAGTAATTATCAAATATGTCAAAAAATCAAAACTTAGACATTTACCCAGGCCATCTCTGACTTCTACCAAAAACATGGATAACACGCTTTCATAGGGAGATTAAACTATTGTTTCAGAATTGGCCCGGTCGTTTTCGGGAATTGAACAAAGCCCATTGCGGATTGTTTGCCAAAACTGGAAAAATTAGCTTGTGCAAGGGATACCAACAGCTTGTTCTTTTCGTTGAGCCCTAAAAGAAGGGCTCAGAATTTCTCCGATTTGCCACCTCAGTTTTTGAAGAAAAAAAAACACTTTCCAAAAACGAGCAAAATTTGACAACAGATATTAAGAAATGAGCATTTTTATTTGCGAATTAGATTGGAAAAAAGTGGATACTCCGTTTGGGTAACAACGATTTTGATCAAAAAAGGAACAATTTAACAGTTTTTGGCTAATGAAATGCTTCCATCTATATCTTTGAATTCGTTAAATGGACACATCACGTTTCCTACAGTTTTGTAAGAAAATTAATTACAGGAAATCTAGTTTCAGGTTACAAGCCATTTGATCTCGCAGCTGTAATGGAACAACAGCACGTAAAAATGGAGTAAAATGCGAATGTTCCCAAATAAAAAATCCAAAAATCTCTTAAAAAGCACACAACTGAACACTTTCATTGCGAGTAAAATTAGAAAAAAAGAAGCTTCGTACTAAAACACTAGCCGGTCGCTGATGTACTCACGAAAAATCACGTATAGTTACAACGTTAGTGCAAAAAGAAGAAGATCAATCAATGGCCATTAAGCCTGTCTAAGGAGAATACGTTTCTTTTGTTCTGAAATAAATTGTTACTCAACTGAATTGTTTGCAATTTACAAACATTTTTTTGGGTCTAACCTTCCCATGGTACAACTATTGAAATGGACATGGGTCACACCGTGGTAGACCTTGTGATACGCGGTAGTCGATTGTCGTTTCACAAGTTTTAGAATTTAAATTACCATTTAAATTTTGTTCTTCGTCAATTGAAATTTAGAGGGGCAGAAATTGGGTGCTATAATTTTCGTGAGTTGAAACTAAATTAAACTGGGGGTTATGCTTATGCGCGAAATTTCTCGGCGAAACAATGCCCTTTAAACTGACAGATTTTATTGCTTATTTGCATCGAAACTATGGCTGGCCGAAGTTCGGCGCTTCGGACCTTCGCGCATGAGGGACGCCCGCATTTAAACTCACCTGTTTGCTTGCGTAGAGGCATTAATTGCTTTGTCATTCATTTGCACAGAATCTGAAATTGAAGACATTGACTACCTTAGTACCACGACTCGACTGCTAAAAAAATAATTCATCTCGAGGAAAATTGCATAAAATCAAGAACTTCATTAGGGACCATGATTATTCTCATTGGCATGGTATTAATCTCAGACTACTGAACTTATTCGACAGATTATCGCCCACTACACGAATTAAAATGATTGATTTCTTGGCAGTTGTCTTTCTGTGAGGCTCTTCGACACCTACTTGAGTATTAGCCAGATAACAATCAAAATTAGCCCAAATTTATTAATCATAAATTTGAACTAGATCAAGTGAGTTCGTTTTGCAGAAATATTACTTGAATTGCTTCTTATTTCCAAGATTTTTCGAAGTGAAAATACCAGGACTAAACTTTACACAGAGGCCAAGCTGCGCTTCGCAAACAAGAGCGAGAACGAGACAGAAAGCAACTTCAGAGTTCTAAAAATTTCAATCAGAAAAAGTAAAAATAAGCCTCCAACTAGTAAAAAAAGCCGAGAACAGATGCTATGCAATGTCCAAGGCTACAGATCGTGATTATAACAAAAAAGCACACAAGTGAACACTTTTATTTGCGAGTTAGGTTAGAAAAAACAAGAAGGTTCGCACTAAAACACTAGCTGCTCGCTAGCGTAAACAAGATATGAAAGAAAATCACTCGAACAAAAATCTTTATGCAAGAAAACAACAAAGAGCACAGCAGAGCTTCTCACAATTTGCCTTATAACACAAGCATAACATAGCAGACAGAAAATGAGACGAAAACCACTAAGTCTAACAAATCAACTTTTAAAAAAGACTTTGTCTCTAGTGATATTCAATTTAAGGAAAACATGACAATAAATAGAATCATTGCCGTAAATTACAACAACCAAAATCATTTAGGGAGCGGGGACTATGCCGACAGTACTTGATTAGAAGACAGTTGAGCCTGAAACAAATAATTGTCGGAAAATTTTGACCTAAACAATTTTGAAATTTCAATAGTTTAAGCTCTACACAGATAAAAGCATAACAATCTATTTCTGCCTTTCAAATGACGCAAAAGGTGGTAAATAGGTCAATATGGCATAAGCCTAACACACATAAGCATCAAAAATTAAAACGTTAATTAGAAAATCGAATCTAGTAAAATTACCTTCAATTGTTCAAGTGCTTGATTCAGAAGAAAGTAGACGCTTTGAAAAACCCTATGCTTTGAAAAGAAGGCCAACAAATAACTAGACAAACGATAGTTCGACAATTCACGTTTTCCCCACATCTAAAAAATCAAGATCCGACCGGAGTCGAACTCAAGAGCATATATTCGTGCGCGTGATTTACCTTTATACTAAGTATGAAGGGGCTTGAATTAAGTAGAATTGACTAAGGCAAAAAAAATCAGTGAAATACAAACTGAAAAAGATTTTTTTTGGTAACCTTTGAATCACGTGCGACCATACTTTTAGACTATCGCAGTGGTAATTATATTGCGAATGCATGTAAGCTACCCTGAAACTCTGTTTGCGGAAAAAATCTTCGTAGCTTGCGCTCCGAGCGTGAATACAAATAAGACTTCATAAGAGAATAAAAGATCAAAGTAACATGATTTTTATAACTTTCTGTAAAATAATTTTTCGTAATTTTCGCTCGAAACTACAAGGGAAAAGGCATTAAATTCTGATCATTTGAAAAAACTTGATTTACAAGAAATTTTTTTTTTTAAATAACCCATACAATTATCCATAGCTAAGATGAAATTACTAGTTCGCTGAAACTGAGAAATCTAGTTTCGGAAACAATGCTGATTAAGTGGGAGCAAAAAATGAGAAAAAAATTTAAAAAAATAAGACCCTTTATATGAGATTTCCAACAAATTCTCACAGGTTAACAAACTATCTATCATGTCTGACAATTCTGAGGCATTTTTTACAATGTCAGTGAAAAATTAAAAACTATAAAAATGCACAAAATGAAATATTAATTTAAACTTTGAAAACGTTCGTGAAAGTATTTTGTGCGAGAAACATTTTTTTTCAAATCCAAAAAACGTTGGCAAAAAATCTTGTAATTGAATTACTTGCACTACTAGTAAAATTTAAAATGACACTCTATAATACGTTAAACAGTTGCATTTTTTAAGCACACCGGTGTTGTGGAAACTAAGCCGATGAAAAAACAAGCAAACACGATGGACCAAATCTTTCGAAAATCTTGATTTTCAAAAGGCAGAAAATTTCAGTTTGCAAAAGTTCGGTTCAAGAAGGACTGAAACTACTGACGTTGTTCCAATCATGAACATGTTGCAACAGGCAAAAGATTAGTCGGGACAAACTTATCGAGAACAATTCGTTTGCCTGAAGGAAAAACGAATTACATAGCAATAAAAGCCAGTGCTCTGTACCGGCTCTATTTCCACTCAATCTGGAAACTGTCTATAGCTTTTCGTAGTCTTTTACAATGAAAAAAACTATCAGTCAATCCAGTTTGTTATTCATAAATTACTAACAACGAATATTTAAATAAATCACATCACATCTTCATTTAGAAAAATCAAAGAGCCACACAATTAAATTTACTTGCGATGAGCGTAGTTCAGCTTGCGTGGATAGTAATCATCGACCAAGGGCGGCTGTAGCTGCGAAACATCGTCAAGTTCCGCTTCAATCACTTTCACTATTTTAGCCTCGTCATACTCGAAGTCAAACTGAATCGCCTGCTGTGAGACTCGTTTAAAAATGAAGCAATTGTACACTGAAATAGCCTCCCATTCGCTTTTTGAAATAGTTCCAATCGAAAACCTTTCATGACTTCTGGATTCTTTTTTCTTTCTCAGACACTCGTCGAAATAAGTCTGCGCATGGTCATAATCGTTTGGGTTCTTCGAGGATAAATTCCACGATCTTGGCGTGTAGGGTTCCAATGCATTTATTATTGACAGCAGATTTTTACATCTTGGAGCATTTTTGAAGTTTTCAAAAGCTTCGCGGAAGGAGAAGGTTTCTTCAAGTTGAAATCCGAATTCCGCCGCCAACTTGGACAACAAATCAATGTCACAGAGAAATTCTGGACAATTTACAACACCGTCTAGTTGAAAATGATATTTGCACCCATAAGCTGGAAAACTTTTGGAATCATCGAAACTAATTTGATAAACTTCGTTGCCAAAACTGCACGCATTTGGGTCTTTCCTCTGGGCTATTTTTAGTCTTCTGATTAACTCTCGATTATTTAAAGTAGTTCCTATGAAGTAGCCTCCAACTCTGACCTTCTCGCATGCGTTGCGCATGATTGTTTTAGCTTGGGTTTCTGACTCGAATCCGTAGTGTATTGAAAACTGACAGCTGCTGATGTCAAAATTTTCGTCGGTCGGAAAATTTTCTAGTGACGAGCACAACTCTTTCGTGCAATCCAACGTGAAGAATTTGGCTTCTAAGCTGCAAAAAATATGAGTAATGTCAGGGGCGGATCTAGGTTTTTCTCGAGGGGGGCGGGGGGGGGGGGTGGAGTTCTCACATATCACTATAAGACCCTATTTGGAGCAATTTTTTTGGGGGCGCAGGCGAGATTTTGAAACAAAATGGTTTTGGAAAAGGGCACTTTTTGGAAATTTTGGATTGTGCACGCCAGTGATTTTAATTCATTGCTCAGGATCCACAAAAACAAACAACGATCCAAACATAGAAGAAGAATTTATCTATCCAAAATCATGTAGAAAACAAACAACAATCATCAATTTATTTCCAACTAGTTACAAACGGGGCCTAGGAAATTAGACGATAAGCAAATTAGACGGATGCTACAAAAACGAAATTAGACGGAATTTATTTTTTACAGATCTGGCATTTTAGACGAAAGGGAAAGGGCCAACAAACATTTTTCTTAAGAGTCAAGTTTCACAAATACAAAAACGACATAAAATGTCAATACCTATTAAAACAATTAGTTGGAATCAACATAAAATGTCAAATCTGAATATTATAGGAGAGTTTTGAATTGAATAAATTATGCATGATTGACTTGTAAAGTTTTTGGCCACCGAAATTGAACTGTTGTCTACAAACAATTTTATTTTTCTAACGCAATTTGTGTGCAAACAAAGTTAATTTCTCTCACTTTCGTCTATTTTCTCACAATTGCAGTTTTGCAAAACCGTCTAATTTCCTTTTAAGTACCTCCGTCTAATTTGCTTATCGTCTAATTTATCAAACCCCGTTACAAACAGTTATTTCCAACTAGAACAGAACATCCAAAGTGTCTTAAATCAACAACCAACTTTACCAGCGGCGAAGCGGAACTTCAGATAACATATGCTAACATCAACGTCTCAGGCAATTTTCAAATGCTAACATCAACGTCTCAGGCAATTTTCAAATCAATTTATTCTCAACACTGTTGTCAGACCAGGTTACAAAAAAGTCTATAAATTAGCCTAACATAATATTTTGCATACTGTACCAATTATGCGAATTGGCTCCTCGCGACATTCTTTTAGTTTTTCAAGCACTTGTGAGAACTGAAATTTTGTAGCATAATTACGTCTAGGTGGTTACTATTCACGAAAGCGTAATTATAAAAAAAAACCAGTGAGAAATAATCATTACAGCTGCTTTGTCAAATTACGCCAGGCTTCACTTATGCAATAACTTGACCCCATGCTTAATTTCAAGATGGTGCCGTCAGGCAATTATTTTCACAAGATTAAAACATCCCCAACGGAAAGTTGGAAAAATAGCAGGGAAATTGGAAAACTAATTTCGCAGGGAATTTAGCAGGGAAATTGGAAAACTAAAACCTTACTTTAAAACCTAGAAGGTGATCACGTTTTTCGTGACCTACACTTTTACTGTTCGATAGTAGAGTTTGCATTCTTTTTAACAAAGGAAAGGAACTAAACTTTAAAAGAAATCAAAAATCAAACCGCGAAAAGTCATATGCAAGCAAAAACGTTTCCTAGAAAAAAAATCATCACGACCTATAGAAGATTCTTCACAACGTTCGTCAACTCTCAAAAATCACAAAAAAGGCGATTAAAAACATTACAACTGAGTATAAAAACTTACGGTCACAAAAAATGAACAACATATGACATGATTGATTCCTTTTGACGTTCAATGACAACTTTTTCATATTTGATACCATCACATCAGATAGTAACTAGGTTTAATTCGAGCAGAAATAAGTTGTTTGAGACCTAACTTTTAAACCTTTGTGAATAAGAACTTTCATAAATTAGCGCTGTAGGCGAGTGGAATAGGTGAGCACAGACCTTGAGTAGCAGGCGAATATTAGCAGCATTTAATAATGAAGACGATAGTTCGGATTTGTTTGATCAATTATCGACAATACCATCCATTTAATTTCGCATAAAAGCGAGGATCAATAAATCAGAGCCATTGGACAACTGAAAAAGGTGAGATCACTCCATGACTAGAACGGTACAGATGTTGAAAGGGTGTCAATAAATTCTTTGCAGAAAATCGCCCATTTGAAGATAGCCAATTTACAAACCTTTTTGCAATCATGGGAGGACAAACCTTTTTGCAATCATAGATCCACCCTGTCTAAAGACACCTGTCTAATCCACCCTTATAACAAGCAAGGAAACCCTTACTTCTGACTCTTTCTGTTTCGTCCCCATCTTTCACGACACTGATCTATTGAAACAGCAGCAATGTCCACTCCAACTAGCAGTCGAACTGAAATATCACAACTAGACCATTTCAACAAATCTCCGCCTTTACCGCAGCACAAATCAAGGACAGTCAGATTCTGGGACCCATTAGAGTGATCACTGGAAGACTGGCTGGCCCATGCTCCTTTTTTGGCGGGTTCTGCTTGTTCTCCCAATTCTGGTTCAGACTTTCGTTTCAAACAATCCTTTGTCGATGACTCAAATCTTTCTTTATTATCTTGCTTCGGCTGAAAACTTTTAACGGTATGCGAAATCAAACAAGATTTTATCCAATTATTAAAGTTTCGCAGATAATAAATTCGCGTTTCCGTTCTCTTTTGCAAGCCAATTTCTTTAATTCCATTATAGTGTTCAGCTACAGATCTTGATATCGAATTTTTACCATTCATTTTCCTAAAATCAAGTTTAAACACTCATTTTATTGAGTATCAACACTGTTTTTCTTCAAGGTGATAGGTTAACGTAAGTTTGTATAGGCTTGAAATTAAGTTACAGGAAACAGAAAAAACACCTACTTAGTTTTTCGAATTTTACAAAATAAAGCATCACTGATCAATTCTATTAACTTTTACTGAGAATGCGTCAAAATTGTAAATTCAAACAAAATTGCGTCAAAATTTTTGTGCGTATTCAGGTTTTAAAAATTTAACCTAGAAAAAATGAACACTTTAATTGAAAACTGATAATTAATATTATTAAGCAAGTAAGTCACACAATTTTTCTTGGTTATATATTTAATTACAAAATAATAAAATAATGGTTAGAATTTTAACATCAAATTTAAATTGTTTCCATGTTGTTTTTCCATAGGTTGCCAAAAAAGGATCTTCACGAAAAAGAGAAAGGAAATATTCCTTAAACTTAATTTTCATAGTCTTGTAAGGTAAACTGCTGCTGTTTATGTTTGAAATTGCATTTTTTGAATTTGGTTCTAAATAAGAACTGATTTTCTGTTTTAAAAAACCACATTTTTCGATTGATGACTGCTGAATCTTGCTTGAAAGTGTAGTTTTTTGGTTCTTTTGTTCTCATCAATTGTGTTGTTCACGTACTTGATTTATGTTCATGTCGGTAGTAGTTTATATTTGAGTTTCCATAGATGGCAAATTATTTTCCAATCAAGAAACAAGGAAACCGGAAATACTTTGTATTCAAGCTTAAGATCGAATGAAGAATCAAACTTTCGGCGGTTTTTACAGTTATGTTTCTAATAATGTTTAGTTTTTTCTTAGGTATTATACTACTTTTTGTTTGGTTTCTGGCGTATCATTAGGTGTTTTTGGTCATATACAGCTCAGGGAACAACGGGGCGGCCGATCTCCCCACCCTTCACGATACGAGAATTTTCAGTCTTTGTAACATTCGTCTACTGCAGTCACACATGAGGCTTAAGAAAAATAGGCCCTATAACCACTGGCTCAAGGGTCAGGGACACTATCTCTTGTGTTTTTCTACCTCAAGAACGGTCGGAGCCAGTTCGGTTCGCTTGTGACATGAGACTACGACCCGTTACAGCTTAAAGGCTACTACTAAAATATCCCCCCACTCTAGAATTAGAAACGTCCCCATACTTAGGTCTCTAGATACCCAAAATACATGAACGCCGTTAAAAACCGGGTTGGAACAATCCGTTAAGTTACTTTTTATTAGACAGTGGAACTTTGATCCATTTCAGATGGATCAACCTAAAACTCGCCTTACCTCAACATCACAATTATAAAACACACTCTAGGAATTTAAATTAAGTACTCACATTGTAGCACGCTCAAGAACCAGGAAGTAAATAAGTCGGTAAACAACTCAAGAATTAATAAAGTAACTAATATGAGTTTAATGTTAGTCAGTTTTAACAACAAGAACAAGTTTTTACTCTAGACTGCAAGTTCTCGTGAACCATTGGGACACTCAAGCTGTCCACCTTTCCACCGAAGGTTCACTCTAGTCCAGTCAATAATAGTATTCCAATCGTAACAATCCAATTCGTGGGAATGCTCTCGTCTCTGTTTCAGATGGGACAGCTCTACTCTAGGCTATTATTGCTATTGAAATTGCGAATAGCAATTTCCCACCGATTTTTCTAGCAACTTTCCCGCGATTGTTATTCAACTGTTCTGAAATTGTTCTGATCTCTTTTTCTGATTTTCAGTTCTCGCGAGAAAATCGTGCATGACAGGTTCCATTCGAAATTTTGAGAAATTAAATTTCACTCCAAAATCAAGTGTTTTTTTCTTCTCTCAAGGTCAAACTTCCAAATATGACCGACTGGCACATACTCCCCGGACTCGAGATCGATGTCCTCATCGCGCGCTGTCTTCTGCCAGTGAGTCCCAGAAAAACCGAGTGTTGCTCAAGATACAGTGCCAGTGGTCATTTACAGAAGTTTGCAGCAGATTTAAGCTTATCTACACCCCAAAATTCACAGCCATTTAAAATTTTCACGCTATTGCTAAACAGCAACCAAAATCTACATACACCTGCACCCTTGAATTTTCGCTTTTCAAGCCAATCATTTTAAAATCTCTTTTGTCCTATTCAATCAGGAAATTGTCATGCAGCATTTCGATTTATATAATAAATATAGTATATTAGTAACAATATTTGCTTTGTTAAAATTTCTTTTTCGTGAATCCAAGTTTCACTCGGATCCACGCTCAAGCCCCCCTTCCCTCTCAAGACTCAAGATCCATCCGATTTGCCCATTCATCTCGTACTCTTCGCCTTAGAGGTACTACATCCTGAAGTGCTAGATGCGGCAAACTGTCTCAACAGTTCCTCTTCATCATCGGAACTAATCACAATCTCCTCCCAAGCCTTCAGCTGTTCATAGGATCGCATCCATTCTCTCTGCTCCTGCAATCTCTTTGCTTGGTTGGGTAGTGCCTTCACCCTAGCTTCTCGGTTCAAGCAAAAGGAGTTGTGCAGGCTCAAGCTCACGTTCTTCGCCAGGTCTTCCTCTAGTATCGACTCCCTCGCTTTGGTATTGTCTCTAGACATCTTACCCACTCTTTTCCATCCTGTCGTGATCGCATTACGATGGGTTAGCAGGGGTCTCTTGAAAGCTTCCGGCCCAATCTCGGCCTGGAACTGTCGATACTCCTTTTGATGCTTTCTCATGTGATCTTTCGTTGTCATGTACAACCAAGACGTCAGTGTCGCCCGAAACCATGGAAAGTACCTCAAGCGACTCCATACGTGCCTGACTTCCGTCGGTATGGCGAATACTTTGCACGCAGTCTCAAACAACTCGAGTCTCCTGCTGTAGTCTATCGCGTATATTGACTCAGCCGTTGGCGTCGTCGCCTCCCGATACTTCGTTATATTCTCTTCTATCCATCTCAGAGCTAACATCGTACTCACTACTAAGAGCGTCACCTTCTGCCGGTGATCCGGTAGTCCGATCGACCGAATCTCTTCCACATCCCACACCAGGCAAAGGTTCTTGTGATCTGGATACCACACCGTTTGTGCCAAACAGTGGCATGGGCATTCCCCATGAGAGATCTCAATGCTCCTGAGATTACGCTCCCCTGAGGCTTCCAAGAGAGGTTCAAGCTCCATCATTTTCTCGTGCATCGTGTCGTTGTCTTCCAGGTTCGGAGTACTTCCCACAGGTTTCCCGATCACGTTTTGTCTCTCGTGATCGCTCGTGTTTTCTCTTTCCAACTTCAGAAGATCTTCTCCCCAGATTTCGCTTAAGTCATCTCTCAATTCTTTTGGTACTGTCCCTTTGATTTTTCTCAACAACTTGTGCGAGTGATGCGACATCCGAGCCAACCTCACGCACTTGGGCACTGAGAAGGCCTTGTCCACCAGTATTCTCTGGCTGGACACTTCCACCATCGCCATGTGTAGCGGGTAGTGACTTCCGCACAAGTTGGCCATCATTGACCCTATCAGCGATTTCGCGTTCAATGGCAAGCCATAAGCTTCGCTCATGGGAAATCCCATTTCCGCCTCAAGACCAACCTTCCAGCTCCGGATGTGTTTTTGAGTCACCTGCAACACCCCGGGCCATGATTCTACGCTCAACGCCGTCACTAAATGATGTTCAGACTCCAGTCTCTCCAGTGCCTGCAGACCACACATTCTCGAGAAGAATCCGAGAGCTGTCGCTATATTCACCGTGGTTCTCGCGTAACATTCCGCTATTATTTGCACTTCACTTTTCTCCCTTTCTGTGATGTCTTCGAACCAAGTGACCAGGTCTTCTTTTTGAAACGACAGTATTCTGACGCATGACCGTCCATCGCAGATGTGCTCTCCGTTCCCACACGTCGAATCCAGACAGCTACCCGGCTCCAATTTCTTTGCTGACCCGGGGTCGCTCGTCCTTTCGCTTGGCTCTTGCATCTGGGGCGTGATTAGCTTATGTAGCACACTCAACTTCGCCAGATCTTCATCTTCCGTTGGTGCTAACCTCACTCGCTCTGTGGTTTCCTCGATTAGACTTGCATGGGGATGTGGACACCAGGAGGGTCTTAGTAGCTTCCATATCACTCCCAAGTTCGTGGTTAACAAGCCATTTCCACCGCCCATGTTCACTTCAACTCTCTTGTTTGAGCGCGGTATGCTTATCACCTCTGGTGTTTTCTCAAGAATCAGGCCCAGGCTCGGCCCCTCTTTTTCCACCGCGTCTATTTCCATTATTCTTTCTGTCCAAAACTTCAGTAGCTCCGCTACCTCATGGTTTCTGTGGGCTCCTCTAGCTTCCGAGTCTAAGAAGGGATTGTAGGCTATTCCCATCACTCCAGACACATATTGGTATTCCCCCTTCTCACTGAGTCTCGAGTACTGTTCTGACGAGGCCAGGTTACGGTGAACATCATGTTCTTCCTCGAACTTCTTATTAGAGAACCTCCGTACCTCGTCCAGCTTTCGATGGTTCTCTAAGGATAGTCTGGAACCATCTTCTTTCTCTATTCCTGTACTCTGATATACGTTCAAGATGATCGTTGAGACTCTTCTCTCCATGGTTTTACTTCCACTTGCTCTCTGGTGGCATGCCAGGATGGTGCTATCAGACATCATTGACATTGTCCATCTCAAGAAACATGTGGCATCTTTTCTTCTAGCCAGGCTCAAGCCTGAGTTGTCCCTGGCTACGTGTTGCATCAGTGCCTGATACATATCTAGCTTCTTGCTTCCCAACTTCAGCCTGTCATACGAGGTCAGTGTTTCCAACTCTATCCCCACCAGACTCCAGGTGAACATTAATTGTCCCGCAGTTCTAACGAAGGGATTCGCCATTAGTGGCGGTGCTGATGAGGATGTCCTCATCGCCTCTTCAAAATGATCCTTCAACAAACTCTGCCAGGACCTCTTCAGATGACTTGCCATCTCTATCTTATTAACCTCGGCTTTTTGCTGGGTGGCCCAATTGCGTCGCCTGC